AGCAGGAAGAACCAGACAGCGCCGACATCGCTATCGCGAGTCTGGTGATTCACCGGGGCATGCTTATTGTGTTCTCTGCCTCCCATTTCCTTAGCAACAATCCATTTGCTTGAGTGGCCTCCAAACCCCTACTCGGAGTCAGCTCTTCCAGTTAACCGACACGGCGTCTGACCAAGGGTTATCTGCAACTCCCTGCCTGCTGCTGCCGGCACCCGGAAGAAAATTCACGGGGTTAAGAAAGAGTTTTATGTAGTAAAAAACCCGCAGTGTGTGAGGTGCTGGAGCTGAGAGGCTGCGGAGCCACCTGTGGAATTTGTCTGTTAAAGATGAAGAGTCTGGGAGAGCAAAATGTTTTGATGAGAATGGGGATTTCCCGGGATGTTCTGATGGATTGTGACTCAAATCGAGTCAAGTCGACATCAGAGCGTCGAGCCAAGTCGACATCGAAGAGCTCTGAAAACCAAACACGACGATTCGGTAGCCAACGGGCAGACAAGAGAAAGGGCCCAAGGTGGGCCAAAGCGATGCAATTTAGCCAAGCCAAGGCAGCTCAGTGCCATTCCGCTACGTCCATTCTGTCGGAGATGAACCGTCCCCGCGGAGCGCAGGAGGCGAGACGGAAATCTCCATCAGGACACGGGCTGTTCGCGCAGCTTGCATCCTCTGCCACCGCTCTGCTGCCAGCGTGGAGACGTCCGGAAGGGAACAGCAGCCTTGACAGCTCGGCTTCGGCAAGCTAATCCAAATTCGAGTCACAGTCACGCCCAAGCTACCTCAGCCCGTTATTAACGTCGGAGATTTAACATCAAGCCCAGAAGGCCAGCGCTGGCAGCCCAGAAGGCCAACCGTATCCTGGGCTGGATCCAGAGCAGCGTGGGCAGGGGGGCGAGGGAGGGGATTCTGCCCCTCTGCTCCGCTCTGGGGAGATCCTCCCTGGAGTGCTGCGTCCAGCTGTGGAGCCCCCAACATCAGAAGGATATAGACCAGTTGGAGCGAGTCCAGAGGAGGCCACGGAGATGCTCCGAGGGCTGGAGCACCTCTGCTATGACGAAAGGCTGCAAGAACTGGCCTTGTTCAGCCTGGAGAAGAGGAGGCTCCGAGGAGACCTCATTGCAGCCTTCCAGTACCTGGAGGGGGCCTACAAGGGTGCTGGGAGGGACTTTTTACAAGGGCCTGTAGTGACAGGACAAGGGGGAATGGGTTTAAATTGAAATCAGGGAGGTTTAGATTAGATATCAGGAAGAAATTCTTCCCAGAGAGGGTGGGGAGGCACTGGGACAGGTTGCCCAGAGAAGCTGTGGATGCCCCATCCCTGGAAGTGTCCAAGGCCAGGCTGGATGAGGCTTGGAGCAACCTGGTCTAGTGGAAGGTGTCCCTGCCCATGGCAGGGGGGTTGGAACTGGATGGTCTTTAAGGTCCCTTCCAACCCAAACCATTCTGTGATTCTATCAAGGCTTCTGTGGCGGGGAAGATGGCAGCGGCGGGGTTTAAGATGCATTAATGCTTTCCTCTGTGGAGCAAATCCCTCCGAGATGAGACACCTCGTGTCTCGCGCTCTGCACGTGATCAGTGACTCCGGGCAGGCTGGGAAAGAGCAATTCCCTCTGCATCAGCCTGCGAGCGCTCAGCCGGTGCCACGACTCGACCGAACGCGCCCGCTACCTCCGGCTCGCGCTCCCACGCGTCGGGCGTGACGGTGTGGAAGAGCACCGCAGGCTGCAGCTGGAAACGCTGATCCTACCCCGGCGTGACAGGAGACGAGTTCTCCCTGGATGCGGGGCCAGAAGCCGTGCCAACAGCTCGGTGACGCAACACGTTTAGGTGGTTTTGTTACAACTGTTTGTACGTTAAGACAGTTCAGAAGCCAAAACGCCTCCGTTCTCCCAAAAAAAAGCCTGCGAACAAGTGAGATTTTAAGCAACGCTTGGCTTTTCACAAGGCCGTTTTCAAACACAAGCCACGCAGCAAACAAGTGCTTGTTTAAAGGCTCTGAGCAGGAGTCTCGCACGCCCTCGCACCGACGGAGGGACCCGACCCCAGGTCGGGGGGGCCACCCCACGGGG